CCAACAAGTTATTGGTGACAATGTGAAAATTCTGAGAGAATTTCAAGAACTCCTTGTGGGTTTCGGGTTAGAATATTTAATATTCTTACCGAATTCGTATATGAGCACTTCAGTTCAGCTGAGGGGAATAAAGATATATTCCTCCAACACTAACCCGGTGCAAAACATCCTCACTTGCACGAACTCCTCAAAGTCGATCTCTCCATTGTCATTCTCGTCAACATCGGCTACCATAGCCTCAACTTCATAAAGTGTCACCTTCAGCCCAAGAGTTTCCATCAGTGCTCCAAGCTCCTGATGAACAACGACGGCCACTACGAATGGATCGTGGATGGGAAATTCCGAAAGAGGTCAGCTAGTCTTCTTGCGCTGAGTAGCTTTACCTTCCAAACAACCAACTCGCTCGATGAAAAAGTCAGAAAGAGCTGGATGAGTAAACCGTCAAGCATTTAGCAATTTTCGAGCTCCAATTGTGCGGGTGCTAGATTGACAATGTTGATCTCAACCGGTGATTCAACACACATTATTTTTTGAAGTTTCGAAGCCCATCGGTTTTGAAGCCTGGTTTTCTGCCAAAAAATTTTTGGACATCATAAGGATATACGAATACGATCAATGGGTAAACGATAGTGTTCGGAAGTGCGCTGTTGAGAGCTCTTCAACCTTACGCCAGAGTTTATGCTTCCGCCTCCGTCGATATCAACTAAACTGAATACCTGGCAGGAACGGTGCTGGGGAAATATGCGTTCGTTTTTCTCCGGAGCGCCCCCACTCATTGTGACCCCCATAATGTGGAGGCCTATATACGCATTCGGGTGGAAGAGTACAGGAACCAACGAACGTTGACCGAAATTTCTTCGCAACTTTCATATTATCGCCAACACATGTAGTTTAGCATTTGCGTATCCCCCCACACTGGGCATGAATTCTCTCGTATTATCAGTGCTCTTAGGAACTTTGCGAAGCGTAATTGCAGCGAGCGATGATCAATGCACATTCGATAACGTGTGCATAACAGTTAATGCTTCTACTCGTCGTGCGCGATTGCATGTATTTGCATAGCTAATCATCTGTCCCCTAAATAGATCAAGATAGAGATCTTTACACTGCAAAGTTAACAGCTTCTACTGACGGTGTTATCGACTACGCGTCGCGACAAAGCGACAGTAATACAGGTGCCGTTACCTCTCTGAATTCTTCCAAGTCCTGTAAGGAAATGTGCATCCTCTCAGCCAATTCAACTAACTCGCGGTTGTTAGAATCAATAACTTCCTCATCAGAGTCATTTGGCGGAATCGGGTTTCTGGAACGCTCGTCTGGAGTGCCGGAACGATGTCGCCTCATCGCGAGCTGATCCAGAGAGTATCACTAAGTGCTTCAAGCTGATCAGATCGGCTCGAATTCGATAAGCATGGAAACCCTCATGGGAATGGTGATTCCTAACATGTGCAATGTATAGTCTCGTGCTGATCTAAGAACACCGGGTTTCCGGGATATTCCTCTGAGACGAGGTTGAGTGGCGATATGAAACTCGCGAGTACAGTGCGTGCCAATTTGATATGCGAATGCGATAAATGTGCATTTTCTTGAAATTATTGATAATCGCTCTGATACTTCGCATATGCAATGTAAACATTTATACGAACATATACTGTGAAAAGCGTAATCGTTTGAAGCCGCGATAGAGAAAAACTATCCATTATGTCAACTCGCGCTCGCGCAGGTGTCCTGAATTTGATCGGAAACACAAATGCGTAATTGGTTAGGAAACCAGAGTTCAATCAAAATACATGGAAAAAAGCTAATTATAGGAGTTCGGATGGGAGTATACAGAAACATATGATAATTTCCCAAAATTTCCTCAGAATTTCCATATTGTCATCACCAACACATGTAGTTGACTACCATGTGCATATTTTCCCAATGACTAATCATGTATTACTATTATCACGTTGAGGTCTATGGAGATTTTGAGGGAAATCGAGATGTTTCACAGCTGTTTCACTGCAAGGGTTGCTACTTGAATAACTATGAGCGAGACCAGCCTCGTATGACTATAGCCTTCGTATGTACCATCAACAGAAACAGGCCTTTCCCTCCCTGACTCGTACCTATTTCGTATCATGCGCAGTCAACCTCAAGATACTGACCGTACCGAGAAATTGATCGACGGGTAAAATGTAAGTAGCCTATGATCTATCAACTCATGCACACTCAAGGTCTGGAATAACTGAATTCCGCAGAGTATTAGTGCTAGCTCAATTCATCTCTTCTGGAGTCTCTGTCTATCGTCACTCAATGAGGAGTGTACTTTAAATACTGTTATAGGTTACCCCCCCGAGAAAGACCCCGCAAAGGTCTGCGAGAGCTCCAAATGTTCAAGACGAAGGACGTTTGCTGTTGATAAGGACGGTTCTTTAGCCGAGCCCATCAGAGCTCTCGAGGTCCTGCGGGTCTAGCTGAAGTTAAACTTGTAAACTACTTCTTTGGCGCGATGGTTAGTCTTCGTGAATGATTTGTGGATGACCCGGGTTCGACGACAAGTGATGTTATTTTAAGATTAATATTTTGGGACAAATTTGAGCACTTAGCCATACTTGAGGAAATGCAAGACTGCAAGAGGTTATCGATAGCTAACGACAGTCTAAGGCAAGAAAGGCTTAAGAAGCATACAGTGACTTCTCAACTGCCATAATGAGCAGTGTCACGTTAACTAACGTATTTTCTTTCGTCCCACCTGTGGTGGGTCTCCTGTGGGCCATTAAAGAGTTGGTCTATGTTCGCAGCATCAAGCTGGCCGGTCCCTACAAGGGAAAGTCTGGCATGCAAGACTCTCTTGTTGCTGGTGATGCCCGTGATGTTCAGAAGATCCTCCTCGCCATGCGTGAGATCTCTTCCAACATCGCTGAGGGTGCAAACGCATTCCTCATTGCCGAGTACAAGTACATGATGGTCTACGTTCTCGTCTTTTCCGTTATCATCTGGCCCTGCATCGGTTTCGGCACTATGTTGTCATTCGTTGTGGGTTCCATTACCTCTATCGCTTGCGGGTACATCGGAATGAAGACCGCTGTATACTGCAACGTCCGTACTGCTCATGAGTGCTGGAAGAACCTCTCTGATGGTTACGATGTTGCACTTCGCGGCGGCTCCGTCATGGGTTTCGCTCTCGTGTCTTTGGCTGTTCTCAACTTGGCTATTCTCGTTACCATCTATAACGTTCCTTCTTTCTATAACGGTGATCTTCGTGCTCTTTACGAGGCTCTTACCGGTTATGGTTTGGGTGGTTCCTCTATTGCTCTCTTTGGTCGTGTTGGTGGTGGTATTTACACCAAGGCTGCCGATGTTGGTGCCGATCTTTCTGGTAAGAATGAGTACGGCCTCGATGAGGATGATCCGAGGAACCCCGGCTGTATCGCCGATA